TATACGACCTTTACTCCGATAACGTTGTCTGTGTATGTCCTCAATTTACTTCTATCGCCATCGCCATAGAACGAAATCTCCTCTTTCAAATATCGTATGGATTATCWTTAATACTATTTTGATGTGCCCTTATATTGCCTACCTAATGCGCCGTCCATAATGTTTATTAGAAGGAATACTTCAAATAAAATCAAAGCAGATGGGTTGAAAAAACGCTCATGGTCAAAAATAAACTTAAATAAATAAAATGTATAATTTTCTACATAAAAATAACTGCTATACTGTGTATTACATTTTTATTTCACAGAAGTTTAATTTGATTAGACGAAAATAAATCAACTATTCTGTGGACAATCTTCGTAGTTACTTCCAATGAGTCACAGAATGACAAGATGCTTCACCGATAAAGCTTACATATACTCGATCAGTTAAATTAATAATATTATTAACACTTAAGACAGTGCAAATCCACCATGTATATAGTTTTTTTCTGTTTACTAATTGAATAAGAAATATGGAATTAAAATAATACCWATACAATTGTATATTATAATGAATAATAATGTTAAACTGTTAAGTATAACAACTATATGCAATACAATTTATTATAGTTCAATGCACAATATGGGTTTGATAGGCTTATAATAATTTACTATGTAATTAATAAAAACGTGAAGAATGAAATTTCTAAAATCAGTAACCTCTGGGCTGCACGATACAATATTGAATATATTGCATAACGAGTTCAAATAAAGATGTTGTTCAAGAAAATTGTGTCAGACCCATTTAACATACCTATCATTTTGTGTTTAACGGTATGTGGTATGCCAAATAATGAAATATATAATACACTTATTTAAATGATTTATTAATCAACATTTTTTTTTTGTTTAATGAATACAGCATTTACGGTTTGGCAAGTTAATTTCTGCTCACTCTGGATAATTTTTAATTATATTTAACATAATATAATAAATTATTATTATATTATGATAGAAAATTAACTTACAAAATTCTCATTTTATAAACTATATTTTTTTAAATTAGTATTTAGTGTTATAACTTTATAGGTWAGTACAGAACTTGGTAACGGTAAGTCTAAATTTTTATGAAATATTTATATCAAAATATTAGCAACTATAGTTTTAGTTTGTTATACAGTGAAATCTCTTTCAAGTTAGATATGTATATAGTATTTATCCGATGTAAGTGGTTCTATCAATTACAACAAAGTCAATAATTATTAGAAAATTAACTGTTCAGAACTATACGAATCAAATGTGGATTCTTCGGTTAGTTAAGAAATACAAAAATAATAGATATATTATTATTTTAAATATTCATACTTKAAAATATTGAAATAATAATTAATATCCTATAATTACATAARAGACACCTTATTAGATTTACTAAATATATCAAATTAATGGGAATCAATTACCAAAAAGGTTATGAACAGAAAAAATAAAAATAAACGTTTGACTATGTACATCGAGAAATGAATGATTGATAACAGATTAAAAGTTTGCAACTTTATTTTTTGGAATATTTGTATATATTAATCAACGTTATTAAAAATGTATAAGATCAAATACCATATGAAAAATACATGACTTGTCAAGCTTAATATAGGTACTGCTAGTTTWTATGARATATTGGTGCAAATTAATAATAATAACCAATGCAAGAAATACCTCCGAAGTTGTGAACAGAGTTGTTGAACTAGATAATAAATAAGTTAAGATAATATTGTTGGTCACGCTTGATTGTGGGTGGCCGAGGTAATAGTATTCATTTGAATAACTTTTTAAATTAAAAAGTTGTATTTTTGATCTGTTTCATCGAAAAAACATATATTTTCATGTTATGTACATTTGTGATTACAATACAATAAAATAATAATAATAGGTAATAAAAATAAAAATAAATGCTGTATAATACAAGAACAACATTTCAACAATGTATAAAATAGGCACGTAAGAATAATGTTTTGTTATCACAGCCATCGCGTATAGTATAATATTGTAATCGTTTTAAATACAATAATTACTAGGTACCGTATTAATAGTATAATATGCATATAAAATACTATACTTTTTAGAGAAATGTTTTCATACGATACAATATATTCTTACGAGCTAAGTAAAATGCGAAAATATAAAATAAACGAAACAAAAAAAATAATAATAAACAATAAAAAAAATTCAGTCGGATTATATTTTTAACGAATGAGCAGAGTCAGAATCAGCGACGTGGTCATGGCGGCGACATGTGTCCGAAAATCGGATGTTGTGGCGGCCGCATTGGTATCGTCATCGGTGACCACTTCGTGCACGGGACTGGCGGAGATGAGCGTACTGAGACTCAGGTCAATCATGATCCGAGGGCTGGACGTCTCTACCAGCGTGGACAGCTTCTCCGACTCTCTGATACACGCCTCCAGTTGGAGCCTGGTCGGGTTTCGGACTGTCGACTCGACGAGCACCAGTAGGTCTTGGTAAATGGTCAAGTGGCCACGGACCACACACTCGGCCACCAGTACGTGCCTGTCCAATGCTCGGAGAACAGACTTCGTGTTCAGCGCGTTTACCGTAGGCCTTTTCAGCGTATGCATCACTCGGTCGACTTGTTTTTGACTGAAAGTCCGTTCAAAGCACGTGTATTATTTTACTGTGTTATATTATGCCATATCACAATGTTATCAATTCGAGGCTAAAGAGTACTGTGGAGTTACTGTGGATTTTTGGAAAGTAAAAACGTTGTTACAACTTTCATTTGTCTGAAATGCGCGGAATGCCAATATTGAAAATACGCATGAAATATAGTAAGTACTTATTTTTATATGAACAAAAGCAATATTTTTCAAATTATCAACGAAAGTATAGTCACTGGAAATTTCCTACTTTTTATCTACTTTTGTCGTTAAACGAATGAGTTTAAAAGGTTTAAATTAAAAAAAAAAAAAGACGCTATCCAGATTGAAAAATGTGATGAAATAATTTGGTCATTAATGAACATTCGGGATACACGTTCAACATACCTGAAGAGTATTTGCAGAGCTCCGGCGCACTTGGGACAGCAGGCACCGGGTGGCGTGATGCCCAGACATCCTTGTTGGGGCAGTTTCGGGCAGTCTACTATGCCCTTTGCTGCGCAGTACGGACGACCGTTATGCCTAATGAGCCCGGAAGACGCACACGGTCCCGCGTAGTCGACGCTCACTGATTCCGCAAAGGCCGCGCACTCGGACGGATAAGTGTTGCCGTCCACGCCGCACACGCGTCCCGTCGAGTTGCATCCCACCTATAAGCCGAAACGTTGGTGAACAAAAGAGTGGTTATGGCTAAACGACAGGTTAGCGAAACGCCCGAGCTTTGGGTCGGTGGTATCATATTTTTTTTTTTTTATATATATATATAATATACAATGTATACTAATTAACGCCAGACGGCTTTTATATACAGTATGGATAAAGATATTACAAAACAAAGTATTATGGTTAAAACAAATATAAGTAAATATAGTAATAATATAATTTATGTGTTAAAATTAAAAGCTAATGTGATGTGTGAGTCTATATATACCCGATATGACTTACCAGGCACGGGCCACTATATGCCAACGTTTTTCCGGACCGCAACAGGTGGCACAGGTTTGAGTGTTCGCCATCGTCCGTGTCGCATACCACGCCTTTAGCTGAGTCTTCGCACAATGTCTTCTCTGAAACTGCATAGGAGCACGCGACCATTTTAGTTAAAAGGTTTATGACGTAGTATTATTATGTTTTCTGGTATTGGTGACGTATTGAGTATTGGAAAAACACACGCGGGTAATCGAAACTTTTCTGCAGACGGGACGCAAAGTTTATTCTAATTTGCATACATTATACCAGCATATTAAAGTATAATTATATGTTATTGAGTTAACGTGGAAGAATTTGTTAACTTAAATTTGATTTCCAAATACATGAATATTATGGATATTTGACTAAAATCGATATTAATTTTAACGATTTTAGTTTTTATTTTATTTTTATGTTTATGGTTTTAGTTTCGAGAAAATCTTTTGGTATTTGGCGATGGAAAAAAAMCAAGTTTAATGCTTTGCCAAAAATGTATGAATGCGTTTTAATAGTCATTTTGAGATTACCCGCATATGGCTTTTACACATTGTGACAATTATAGCTTACCACATTTGTATTGGACGCAAGACTTCTTCAACATGGACAAGCACACCTGACGGGAGGGCACGCACCTCTCGTCCGAACGACAACCGTTATCGCCGGCGCACGGRTCGTCGTTCCAGCACGTGCCAAACTTGAGGTCTACGTCCGACAGGCCGGCACACCTGGAAAACGTGGAATAAACAAAATAAATATTTCACGTGTACTTTTGTACATATGGGTGGCGGGCACCGATCGATTTAAATAATAACCCGAACCACCTTCACCCCCAAGTCCAGGGTTACACGGTTCTACTCACTTGGCTAGACACGAGTTGGGGTACGTGTTGCCGTTGGATCCACAGACGGGCACGTGATGCGGGGCACAGTTGCACGGAAGTCCAGTGTGCCTGTACCGGGACACGGCGTTGACGGTGGCGGATTCACAGTGTTTCTTCGTGCAGGTGATCTCGCCGGCGAAGCAGTTGCACGTGTTGCAGTCCATCTCGAACGTAGATCCGTGGTCTGGAACACCGAACAAAATGTGATCGCTGCTGTTTCATTTAAATATGTCATATTATTGCAATCGCTATTATATACCGGCACGGATTATATTATCCTTCGACTTCTGAAAAGGTGACCTAGTGAATGGTGACATATTATGAAACGACTGTAGCTCTCTAAACGGAAATGTCACTAACTCATAGATCATGATAAACCGTAATCTTACGGTAATAGATTGTAGATATAATTATGATGCTATAAAAAAGTTCTAAATGTTGACACGTATATGTAACTACCTAGTTATTATTATACACAGCAATTTTATATAATATCTATTCATTTTATAAATCAATTTAAAAGCTTTTATCATAGATAGATTGACATAACCAGTATATTATCTGGATTGGCTTGGTATATTAAAGTATACTATATACACTTATACCGSGCGATATAGCCTGTGGTACTGAAGTATTCAACAGTTTGTGGCGCCTATTTAATCGGCTGATTTCCGATATTTTAATGAAATAATTYKTTTTTTTTTTWAATAATTATCTCAAACAATTAATTTCGTTGTATATTAAACCTCCCGCGATTGTTGTAATCGGGATACGAGACATGAAATATGTTATTTATACCAGCTGACTAGTATTAGTGCCATTAGTACTGGGATTGTTTATCCATAGATTTTTTTTAGTATTAAATAGGATTGTATAGTAGCTTGGAAAATCGTACTACGTATGAATATACGATAATAATAATAACATCATGTTCTGACACCTAACCTACAAAATGACTAAATTTATTTTTCGTTTGAATACCTAATTAGGTAGATTTTGATTGTATTTGGTTTTTATTGTTTATAAAAAAAAAAGTTGTGCACAATATTTTGTACTCAATTTTGATATTTTTATATATGAAATGGACAGATTTATATTTGTTTTGAGGCGGGGCAGAAGCAGCCCATCTGATTGCACCAACACCACAAATACCTATACTCGATTGACACTTTACAAATTTACAAATCTAGAGTAATAAATATTATAAATATCGCCATCCCACTGAATTCGTAGCACACGTTAGTTGTATAATATATATAATGTATTTAATATCTTACCAATCGGCTTGCCGACCAGCCAACAGGACTGCATTTGTGAGCAGGGCACTTGCTGACACTTTTCGATGCCTTTCTTGGTGCACAGGCAGATCTTCGCGCAGCCCTTTTGGCCGTTGAACGTGGGTATGCGAGCGTACGAGTCTTCCGTCACGAGATAGTGCGACACCTCACCCGCCTTGCACCCGGCCACGCATCGGTACGGCCTGCATCCGCCGCCGATTCTGCAACCCCGGTTGATCAGGCACACCGAGCCCGGTGCGCACGGGTTCCGTTTGCAGGGAGTGGTAACTTCCGGTAAGTCTAGTTCCGTCTGGTGATCGTGCTGTAGTCGCGGCGGTGGTAATCGAGGTGCGCCGAGTTCCGCAAAAGCCCCGAGCGGCACGCAAGGTCCGGAGTTGGGCGACAGCCGTGCGCAGAGTACGTCCGCCGACAGCCCTGGCACCAAGTTCGTCCAGTCCAGGCACGTGCTCAATAGTTCCAGACAGTCGTCCCTGTTTTGCACACAAATACGAGAGATTATAATATTATGTGATTTGCTATGGCCGCGTAGTGTGTGTGAGCACGTGTATATTGGTGTGCTTTGTCAGGGGGAGTGGGTGGAATTTCACTTATTTTTCATATAGACGTTATTCATACATAGATGTCCTTCACGAATTTTTTTATACAGATCGATAACCTCATGATAATCTCATCATCAATTACTAGTATGAAACTTATGCACCTCCCCTTCCTCCCAGGGTTTTTTATGTTTACGTTCCTTCCATATGTGTACATAGTTATGTATTTCAGTTACGTACCTGTATTCAAAGTTATTTAAGCAATAGGTTTATAAAAGCATGATAATAAGGAACTGCTGCAAAATAAGTATTATTAATAATAATAAGGCAATATTATGTTATTGTTAAATTTTTATAAAATTAAATAGTTTAATACAACTATAGGATACCTACATAATTGTATAAGGGGGTGTGCGTCCCAATTAGACATTCAGTGAAAACTCTTTGTTACTTAATAACATTAAGTTAGCTTATAATGGTTGGTTTGATTTAAAACCTATTAATTACTCTCTATTACGAATTCTCTCAATAACGATAGAAATCACATGGTCCCTTCAGATTAGTTATAGAGAGTTTTCACTGTATTTTGAACTTTGATGATAAAATGTGTAACTGAAATTATGCCAAATGATACTAATTGATGGGCACTAATTCATTAATTTTTTCGGGCTTTCTTATAAATTTACCCACTGAGTTGAGATCTGTCCTCCAATCCAACCCGGGCATAATATGCGCGTGGTAATACCGTTGGCGTATAGCAAAAATGACAGAAGCCGATAATTTTAAATAAATAGTAAAAGTTTCGCTATCTATATTTTTACTGGAAGTTTAGCTAAACCGATAGGGTATTATTTTCGTAATATGTCTGTAACATATTTTTTCACCGATACAACATAATTTTGTATATACCTATGTCATCGGTCATCCTGCCACTCAACTATAGTTAGGTTTTGAACAAATTATAATATACTAGGTCAAAGCTTAGGAGCATGGTGAGGGAATTATCACCTGGACAACCAATTATTATTTCGAAAATCTCAACTGGCAGAGACGCGTTCTTTAGTATTCGGAGCGCACAAATGCTGCAAATGTAGCTCGACGGTCGTATATATTATATATATATAGCGCGGGATCCGACAAAATAATAACAATAAATCAAGACCTCCGTGTGGTGAACGATGCAGACGTCGGTCGTGCTTGCCAACAGCTTTATTGCATAGTGTACGAGACACATGAGCAGTGGCCAATCGATACGAATTGTTAAGCGTTTTCCGTCGATAAACGCGCGTGTTTGCAATAAAATATCGTGGCTGGCCGATCGCCACGAACGTGAATATTGTGCGTGTGCGTACATAATGATATATAAGTTTGAAATCGTTTGAGGAATCCTGCATCGACGGTTTAAAATAGTATATATTTTGTTAAGTATATACATGTAAGTTTAAATATTTGTAGTCTGTATCGACAGCAAAACGTGATGCGCTATATAAATCGGACACAACTTTATGTATAATAATAATAATATGTGTATTGTGTACCGTTTGATGGACGCGCAGACGTTGAAAAGAAAAACCATGTCGGCAATTGTTATAATTATTTTTTTTTTTCGTTCCAATTGTTTGAAGTCCGACCGCCGACTTCTGAAAACGACACTTTACAAGCACCTTGAAGTACATCGACAGAAATGAAACTATATATGCCCGCGTTATTTATAAACTATTCGTAGATCCTGCGAGATATTGACGGTTATAAGCTGACATAATTTGAGGTTGTCTTGTTATGACTACAAACATTCGTTGGCGAGGTCCGTTAAGCAAAACGTAAATACCTACAGCGTGGCAAGTTTCACGCTCAGGGGAATCAATTTTGTGTAGACGGTTACAATGAATAAAACTGAAAAAAAATTAATTATATCTTGGGCATYTCGTAGGTTTTTATTGATATTTTATTGTGCATGCGAATTATTAGAGCAAGTCTCTATATAAAGTGTTGCATCTTTAAAAAGCTCAAAATTGATTTTAACATTTTTAATATTAATAAAGACTTAAATATAATGCCCTAGATAATTTAACTTTATTTAAATTTGATAATATGACGGAGAGAACAACTTTTGGTCCTTTTAGTAATGCATATTTTTGTCACGTAATTCTTTTATAATTTTCTTTCTCAAGCTAATATGTTCTGAACGACTATCGTATATAGGTTTACAGCTGAAGAGAAATTTAATAATACTTAGGAAATCTTATGCACTTGTCTATATTATATCTTTGCGTTATTTCGTCAGTTTAAATATAAAAACGAATAATTTACCACTTAAAAATTTACTTTWGGGGTAAAAATGTATTTTGAAATCATAAATATTCTAAAGGTGTAAAGAACGATATTTATATATATAGTTTTCCCCTATTAAATATATGATAGTTTGCATTTTCTCCCAGGTCCGTAAAGGAATTTGTCTTCTATGGTCAAAGAAAAAAAAATTAGTTTTAAAAATAATTTTATAATAAATAAAACTTAAGAATAAATAGCGAATGTTAAAAATTGTAATGTTCTTCCTGAAATGTGACTTGGAAATTGTTAAGATTAACTACCATAATTAAAAATGGATGTAGGTATATTATAGATCACTTTCGATGGTTAATACAGTAATATGGTATTTATGGGAAAACAAATTACAAAACATATAAATATGTAGTATAAATTATATAGGAAACAAGTMAATGAATTGTTTATATTTTAATGCTTTGCTATGAACATTAAAAAAAAATCAGTCACTGAGGGCAACAGCCCCCAGTTCACCACCATCCCTATATATATATATTTTATTATACGTTTCGGGCAAAGTATGAAGTCGGTAATAGTGGCCGATGACCGGGCACTATGCACAACGCCCGATTATCAAGGACAAAGTTAGAATAACTTAACATTACTCGGACATTGTATACAGTGCCCAATTAGATTTGGAGCTTTGGGACTGTAGATTAAATATATTAAAAATTAAATAAAACATCTAACAGATTACTTAAAAAAGTTGTTTTTCTGACTTTTTTCGTCATTCTCGTTTATGTTTTCGATGAGTGTTCCACGTCCTAGAGCTTTTTTTAAAGTCTTCCTCTGATTTTAAAGTAGAGATACAAAATATGAACCTATATTTTTAATTTTATAAGAAGTAAAATGCACTCTAATTTTTAAACTAACGGAGCTGAATTAAACGTGATATACTGAGCGTAAATTTCTTATGACACGCTCTTGTAAGACGGTTACAGCACATGCGGATACGATGGCGTATTGGCGGCCTCTCTTAACTATTAACAGACTACGTGACGTCGCCGTCCTGATAATAATCATTAGAAAATATCGAAGAGGAATTTTTCGATTCCATTTTGAAATATCTAAATAGCCTTATCGAGTATATGTGATCACTACATCGTTAAGATTACGGATCTGTTCGTATTATCGACAGCTGTTACGTTTTTGCGTACGAACAAAATATCTAAGTATAGTTTTGTAGTGATATTGTTGCGTATAAATGCAATTTAATTTAAATTCGTGCACCGCGCTGTATCTAGTTTACTTTGCCCACTTGAACTGGGCAGGGTACACTTTGTCGGGGCAATCTAGAACAATGCCCGGTCAATGTATGAACAATTTGAGTATTAAAGTGATAATTCTTACATTGTCTAAAATATTTGATCATTGTGCACAGTGTCCGGATTTCCTACTTTGCCCTAATATATGACTGTATATATGAATCAAAGCATCGCCTGCACTGTCCACATAATAGTTTATAATAATATGTCTTCCCTTCGACAAGGTAGTGGTCGATGTAAAATTCTACTTGCCTACAAATCTTGTTGACGTGAGGTTGCCTGGTGCACGGCCGTATTTGTAAGATGCAGGCGACGGCCTTCCAGCTATCGGGCAAACACTTTGTGATGTTCTTCAGTGGCAGCTCGTAGTTGAACAGCGTGATGGTGCCACGTTGACGCCACAGCGTCACGTCATAGTGGGCCGCATCGTCCGTCTGCGGCGAACAACTCCGAAACAGTTCCGTTGGCCGGTTGTTGAACGCCGTACAGTAGTTCAAACCATCACAGCCCAGATCGCAAGGTTCTTCGACTGTTTTGGTACAAAAAGCAAACAGTTTTTTTAAGYACYCGRAGAAATCGTTTTTAGATTATCATAATAAGACATAGGGACAGTAGAAATCGGTTGTAATGACGTTCGATGCGGAACAGCAAAAATCCGCTATAACAATTGTCACTTGAAAATAAATGTATTATACAAAACAGATACTTCATGGTATTATGTTGATCTATAAATGTCAATTAAATCTCGATTTGTACACCATTATAAATAGATTTTAATAGCTGTGTGAATTGCGAAATTTCGATACAACCCTATTAGTTCAAGACATTTTCATTTTTAAAATCCCTTTTTAATACACTGAGACCGATATCCTACTGTGTATTGTTTAAGATTTATATTAAAATATAACATTGGAAAGTCACAAATCATTGTRCAATAATACCATCCAGGCTTAAGTAACACTGCTATGCCGTTTAAGTGTTTAATACATTTTCCTAATCTTTTCAGTCTAATATAATTCTATATTATAAACTATAATGATGTAGGTATAATAATATAAACAATAAACTGCAAGAAATGAAAAAAAAAAACAGTGTATATAACGTTGCTTACCGTCGTCCAAACATTTGAGCAATTGATCTTCGTTTGGATGTGACAAACATTCGGAGTTGAAGTCGTTCCAAGATGAAGACCATTCGTTAGTGAACGTCTTCAAGCAAAGTTTACGACATCCCGCTATCGTGGCTTTATCACAACAATGTAGTTTCACGCTGTCCATGCCGAGTTTCTCTATTTGTGACATCGGTGCCGGTGCCGAGGTATCTTTCTGCTCAGCCCGTTCACTTTGCAAGAAACATTGCCAAAACCGGTCCTAAAATTCAGTCATCGATTAAATCTGACATGTCAAATATTACCAATCGAAAATGTGTATGATAAATTATTTTTAAGTACTGGAGAATGGTGGATTTGATTTCAGTCATAAACAGTTACATTTTTTATTCACTTCTTACATTTTTGAAGTAACGTTGTACCTACCTAATATAATATTAAATTTAATATTATGAGAAATTTAGTCATATGTATATGTGAATATGTGATGATACATTTAGGTATTTAAATATAATCTCTTATGGTTAAAATATATAAGACTAATGTAAAAGTAATAATAATGATATTTTTTACTTATTAAAATTTGAATTAATTTTATTCTAAAACCATATAATATTGTTGTTTTACAGTTATTATCTAATAAGTAGAGGTCGGATTTATATTCTCTTAAAATCCTTAAAATACGATGTTTTTATGTCGCATAAATTAGGCAATATATTCTCATTCTCTTAATATTTTTTTAAATACCAGATATATGATGTTTTTATGTCGCATAAATTAGGCAATATATTCTCTTAATATTTGTTTAAAATACCAGATATATGATGTTTTATGTCCTTAAATATGCAAAATATTCTTTTAATATTAAAAAAAATTCAGTTTAAATTTATTTTAGCTAACAAAATAACCTACGTGCTATCGCAATCGATAAGGAATACCTGGAGATTAATTTTTATTAAAATCCAGAAATTAATTATTTATAAACAGAATTATTTAGTGAACATCATACCTATCAAAGTGCTGATATACGTGAAATATATTCATTATATGCCGATACTACAAAAATATTCTCAAATATTCTTTAACGTGTTAAATATTCTCTAACCCATAAAATATGCTTTTTTATGCAGAATAAATTCTTTCCTATGAATTCTGTGTTTCATGAATCGTAAAGATTTCTCACTCAAACTTAACTGCATAGACTAGAAACAAATATGTAAAATCATAAAAATCCGACTTCTACTTATAAGTTAACATGGATATTTTGTGAAAAAATATTTATTTTGTTTTAATTTGTTCATTTGAAAATTAAAAAACACGTTTCACAACTAATAGTATAATATATAAATTTGATGATAATATGTGATTAGAATTATAAGAATACATTAACGTGTTTCGTTATGAATATATATATATATATATATTTAAGATATCATTATCTTATACTGAATCAATGAGTATAAAAATGCACAGAATAAAAATTACAATCTAGGTACAATATCTAGTATCGACCATACTACTTCGTTTCTTGTCAATGTACATTTTATAATCGTCATTGAAATTCAAAATCGTCTTTAAAATATTAAATATTATTCAGTAATTTTAATTACGCCTCAACATATTTTCCATTATGACAGTTTACGTTCAAATTTGGAATAAATGTGTAATATTTACTACTCGCCTACCTATATTATATACCTAAAGGCTAAAATCAAAATTAAYTTTAAAAAGTTTAACCGTACGTAGACGTTTTACTATTTTGTTAGAAAAATAATTAAGAAATAAAAACAAATAATTATTTTAATGTGAATTCTGTGTCTATTATTTAACTGCATATTTATCAGTCAATGAACTTTAGAAGAAATCGGGAAAGTAGATAATTGCATTGTTGTAAGGGTGTTGGCTGTCGAGTGTATAACAAAGCTACCAAGTCATTGAAAAAGTCACTGTAATATATATATACAATATATATATATGTTGTATTTTAATTAAATGATAAACCATTGCATACGAATAATTGTGTTGATTGAGAGAAAAATGTTATCAACACTATATTATGTGTGTACTCACGTCCAACGATGGTGGTCCGCATCCTCTTCCCTCCAAACTGTCAACTGCCTCGACGTCTGAGTCAAATTTTCTGCGAAGACTGTCCTGACAAGCTTGTTCGCACTGCGTGTCCGCAGCCAACTTGCAACAGTGCAAGTCTAAGAAACAAAATAAAAATAAAAGATGTTTTTATTAGGTACTCAGTTAGGTTAGGTAACCTAATAGCAGGTAAAATAGATTTCCCAATTAGCTAAAAAAAATTGTATTACCTTCTCCACCTACGCRTCTAAAACTAACGTTCCTATCATCAGGAAAATGCCTTTATACTGATTTCATAGAGGATCACTGTCAGAAAATGACTTTTATTTTGTTTTAGTACTTTTTTTTTTGTAGACATTTATTATTTATTAGCATCTTTTGTGACCAATATATTCGAATAATAAAGCAATGCATAATGTATATTGATACTGCCATCCATTGATTTTTAATTTAAGTTTTGTACAAAAAGAGATTCATACAATGCTCTATTTTAACTTTTTATAGGAAGGGGCAAACTTCAATAGTATAATATATTAATATATAATAATTAATATCTCATTGTTTGTACATTTGTTATTTGTTTATGTATCAGTATACTGCATAGTCAAAAACTACTGCAACGTTTTAAATAAAAGCTATATCTTYATACATAGTATAGCAGCTATAGTATATACTTATTAAAAAATTTAATTTACACAATATTTCATGTGTGATTTCAAAAAGCCAGGGGGGAGCAGATGCTCTATCGTCTCTATATAGTCCCACTCCGAATGCCTATAACGAATAAATACCAGTCTTACATTTGTGTCCGTCTGACGACGGTCGTCTAGCAGTCGTATTTCGGGTGCATCGGCGGTGCAGCTCAACCGATGTAGTGGTGGTAGTGGCGGAACGTGCGCCCCGTCGATCGGCCGAGCACAGGTCGAGGATTTCCTGGTTGGCCGCGTGTCGGTTGATGGACGGCGTATTGGCTAAGAATTTCTCGCACGCAATCTGACACTGCGCCGCGTCCGTCTTGTCGCCGCAACATGTATCTTTGACCTATATAACACACGATGACCATAAATATATTATTCTATATATTTATATACATTTATTTTATAGGTACACATAGAATTTGACAAATACCCACGTAGACGCCCATGGTATATACATGTACAGGGTGATTATTATAACAGTCACTAAAGTTTTAAAATTTTTTAAACGGCAGCATGCAGTTTTAATTTCACAATTCTAAGCAGAGTACRTTTTTGAGATTAAAAAAAAAAATTAAATTTCGAGCAAGTAGTTAATTACCTATAGCTTTATAAGTGTTTAAAGTTTCGTTACTAGTGGAGACAGTGCATCAACATTTTACGGGGTACCTCATCTGTGCCATTCTTGCACACAGCTCATCTCAACTTAAAAATTTAAATGGAAACAATTTGAAATTTTCGATTGAATGAATATGATATATTATGTTTATTATCGAAATGGTTACGTAAGTTTTAAAGTATAGTCGACAGGAAAACTAGGTGAGACATCCAGTACACTGTAAGTCTTGTGCGCGAACACGAGGGATAACCGCGACCAGAAACCGTAATATTCTCATACCTATAATATTTCGTCRAATATAGTCTTAAATCCGTAACATCTGTTATCATATAATATTATACTGTGGTATGTAGCGGTTTTTAGAAAACTATCTTAGCACGATTTTCTGGATAACAGCCGTTAACGAAGTTATAATGTTGCACGGAGACCAACTCTGTAACTACAGATACCTACGAGGCTACGAATTTGATTTATTTCATTGTTTTTTCATCGATGTGTCAACTGTCATATTTTGGAGGAAAAATATAATTAACAAGCTTATCATGCCATCGGACGAGACATGGACGCAGTAAATACAAGCATATCATCAGCAGGCATATTTGCTTTTTAATGACAATTTATAAAAGATAGAATATATTTCATCATAGGATATAAATTTTAATCACATTGTACAATTATGGTGTTTCTCTGTCGTCGTAATGAACCATATGTGATTATTGAGACACACTACTACGCCATGGACCGAAATAAAAATCCCATTAAATTGTTGAGGCTGTTTTGACATAAATTTTAAGCTATGTGAAAATAATTACTTTTATACGACCATAATTCGTTCTCGTATTCTATAATTTATATAAATAGTAAATTAAAAGTGTGCTAAAATTTTAGGATTGTGAATTTTTATATAATCATTAAAATATAATATGTACGAATGAACGAATAATACAAGACTATAATTTAATACATTCTTTAAAAATTCTTTAACTATTTTTTGCAGATTCAGTGTATTCATTATAATACTCAATAACTATCGAGTTCACGACGAGTATTCATGGTAAATAAAATCTTAATTTGAGAAATAAAAATGTTTTTGAATGTATAGACACACTCACACACTACGTTCCTCTGATCTACGTGAACATCAAGTTGTAACGTAAAACTTTTAAAAATGCTGTAAGCACCTGATACCTATACAAAATATAGAAAAACGCTCATCAATATATTATAATACATTAGCAATAACAACATTAGCCGAAAATCAACAACCGTTTATCGGTCTGCGGAATCCAAAATTAATATTACAATATTATCATCTTTGTCCAATATAATACTGTCTGAAACTTCTGTATGTATGTAACGAGAGGCACTTTGCCTTTGTTTATTATAATATGTTTGAACGACAAAAACGATAAACTGCCATTGAACACGATATCATTGCTGAACGRAGTTATTTATGGCAGAAACAAAAAAAAACTCGTGAAGCACATAAAAAATAAAAAAAACTGTACAGGCAGACAGCAGAAATTTTATTTTTCGACCATGGTGGTAATCTGAAGATCGTTGACGACGAATACTGYTTTCGAACGCGTGAAATCTTCTCTTTTTAATTGCGTACTTACATGAATTATTATGACTAGCCACTGGACCGACTACGTTATTGTAGGTATAATGATAGTATTCGCGATGATGTTTTATCGAACCGTCAACATTTAACGTGAATAATTAATACGTCTATATACAGTCATATCGAAAGACTGTCTATAATGCCTCACAGCCGGAGGTTCGTGCCACCCTTCATGAAAATAATATRCATAAATATTGTACAGATTATTTAAATTCCAATCAACGTGTCACGTACCTATAGCATAATAAGGGAAAACAATTTTTTATTTTAAAATAAAAAATAATAATGTTACTTAATGTTTCGTGYTGTAACGATAGTTATGCGTAATAATATGATTCATGTTCTATGTATATCAAAATAGACTTGTAAGTATAAATTATTTATACCTTACAATATTTATCACGAGTATTTAAAACCATCATAAATCGTTACTAAAATGACCAACWTTCTGGTCATAATATATTGTGTCACACTCACAATAGTGTTTTTTTAATATTCATCGTAAATAATTTAAGTGCACTAAAATATATATGCATATTGTGTGTGTTCCAGAACATTTGCTTGGAATACTTAATACTAAATAACCCAACGTGCAGATATTCGCGTCAATAAAAAAAAACCGTAAACGATGTGACACTCGCGTGGTTATAATATACTCCAATGGTAACATTGTGCAGTGAYTTACCTGTTGGTGTTGCAGACAATTGAAGAAATCCGTTTCGTCTTGGCAGTCCCTGTGCACCGACCGGGACCCAGCGTTTTGGTCCAAACAGGACAATTGGCAGCTGTCCGACTTGGCTACGTCGCAGCACTTCCTAGCCGCGTCCAGCCACTTTATCTCGGTATCTGCGCACACCATCATCAGACATTCGTTAGGTTCAAACAAATATGATTTATTTAGTCAATTATTTATATAATATAATAAACAGTCATACACACACAGCACAACGTATATACAAAAGTTATTAAACTAGAATGTTCGATAATAAACAACTTTACATAAAAAAAAATGAAAAAATAAAGAAATGAAAATTGTTTTGAACATGTTTCAATTTGTTTAAAGGTATAGTGAATAAACAAAAGTAATAACATTTATAATTATTTGAGTTGAAAAAAATGTATATACATCTACATAATTTCTAACTAAATTTAACATAAAAAAAAACAAAAAAAAAACGGGTAAGTGGGTATCGCTCTGCTGTACATTAGGGGGTGGGGTGGACCTCTGACTAGGGTAGGTTAAATTTGAATGCAATGATAAGTATCATTGTATACGAAAAACGATTCTGAACGGAGATGGTTTATCTGTCTAGGGTATATTATAGATTATTAAAAATTTTCAAATCTTAGATTTAAAAAGAAAATTTTTTATGAATTTCTAGCTTAAAATAATTTGCGAATTTTCGTGATTTTCGTGATTTTTACRTATGTTGTCAAAATTAAAATTTAAATGCTTGTAAAAAAAAATTGTGACTATGTATTTCTTTTATTTTGCAACTGCTATTGTAAAAATATGTTAGTAAACTTATAAATAAAATCTATAAATAACTCAAAAAAAGTCAAAAATTTKTGAAAATTAAACTGTATATAGATAACACTAACATAAACATTTAGTGAAAATTTCAAATATTTACAGTGAGTAGTTTTTGAATTACAACCATATAAAAAATCGATTTGGTCGAAAACTGGTTTTGCGTAAAAATTCCCGTTTTTCTGTCATTTTTTTTTTTTGGAAACTGTTGGAAAATGTTTACTTTTGACCTCTATTACTTTTGACCAAGGATATTCGCTTTTACATCGGAAACCACCCCCAAAGTTTGAAATTGAAGAATTATTTCGACTAGTTATGCTGTACACAGACACAAAAACAAAAAAAAACACACACATCATTGTAAAATCAATACATTCATCACTTCGTTCAGAATCTAAAAAAAAATTTTCAATTTTATTTTATTATAGTACAATTATGATTATGCTGTATTATAGCAGTACTTCTATATTATGATTAATTTTATATCAGCTATTATGTTTTGTTATAATTTTATAATGTACCATAATATATATTAATATAAATTATTTTAAAATTGTTGCATATACTATAATATTATTGCATACAAAGGTTAGGTGCCTCCCACCCATGATTTCAATCATACGACAACATTTAGTCGGGCGCCTGCAATCCATGTTTAATTAATGAATCTTTGCGATTTTAAAAATAATCGTCACGACCACCTATTTAATTATATATGTTAAGTCGATACAATAGTATACAACTAATGATTATAATACAATATTAATAAGATGTATAATGTTTGAGAGGGAGGGGTTCCATTTTCTGCTAAAGTGATCCTCGTCCATTATCACTTATCAACGAATCCGCCAAAGTTTATATTCTRATTTTCACCAAAAATAATTAACATGCTATTTCTAATGTTTTTAATTTTACGCAACGATAATACGTATAGGTACTTACGTTAAACTAGTACATATTTATATACGTTGTGTATCAAATATAAGCCCAGCTAATAACGTAGGTTAGGTTGAGGGTTAGGTTGAGGGTATTGTACGACTTTACGCGTCTACACTCGTATATTATATTTTTAATGTTTAATAATTAATACGTATTATATAAATTGAGTACGATAGTGTGATGTAGCTGCCACTAGCTGGGTAGCATCATCATATTATAAATTATTAAGAACTTAGGCCAGATTTGACTTATATAACTTCATAAATTCGAGGAAATCCGATTTTATCACAGTACATATATAGATTTTAAATTTTAATCATAGTAGACTATTTATATACTATATATACTTTATATTTTTGCGTTTAATATTAGTTAAATAATTAAATAAAGGAAAATTTCAGGTTTTTTTAATGGTTAATTTTTTTTCGAAAAATCAAGAACTATTCAAAATCTAAAGAAAAAAGAAATTCACTTTTGTATTAATTTTTTTTTTTATATAACTGCTTTAATGCTTTTTTGCCTGCATCATGTTTAAATAAATAATAATTTTCATAGAAAAAATATCATATAGATTTGTATGTTAATATTGTAAGATTAACACATTTTCATATTTCTAGTATAGGTATATAATAATTGTATGTACATAATATTTGACGTTTTTCATTGTTTTAATTTATTACCCTGTAATACCTCATTATAATATATATACGTTCGATTTACCTTGAGCCGAAGACGACATACACCATTCGACGTGCCGGACCTGAGAACAAAAAATACGAATAACGTATGATCAATATACATTACGTAGATACAATAATTAATAATATTAATATATATTTCATAATATTATTTAAATACCAATTGCCATTTATTTAGGAACATACGAGTATAAAAATATAATATTATGCCGTATATGGATTACGAGAATTTGCAGCGGTGATTGGGGTGAGTGGTGGTGATCCGGTTTTACACGACGATTTCAATCAGACGTTTGACAAATTTACCAATTTTTAAAATCACAATTCTTTTTCAAATAAAACATTTATCGACTTTTAGACACTGTTGTATTACTATCGTACCATCGAAATTGTTTGCATAATAATGTTAGCAGCTGTGTTATTGACGATTACGTATCTACATGTAGGGAATTTGGGAGCATTGTTGGATGAGTCGAGTYTTTATGAATTTGAAATTAACGTACGTACTCTACCTACGGCATATACTATAAATAATAATATTTAATTACAATTTTTGTAGAGTGCGGAWACCAATATWAGAAACCCCGATTTGGGTAGTTGTGGTACCTGTTACAATACGCGAAGGAAATACTGGCTTACTCGTATATATTATAATATAGTATATAACTGTCCCAAGTGTGTAGGATAGGGTAATATACTCATATATTATAAGATATCTCGCAAGAATATGACGAACAATTAATAAATAACAGATGTCCGAACGGTGGTGGATTCACTCGGATAATCCTCCGCGTCTGTCTGCAGTAGTGGTCTTGGGATTTGTTTTTTGTGTTTATTATTATTAGTATTTATTTTTATTTTTTTTTTAATTCAGTAATCTGGTCAATGTTAGTTGTAATGCTGATTGTTTTAATGATTTATAAGAATTTTTAATTTTTATAGACTAAATTGTTCTTATTTTTTAAATCATTCTATGAGTATTTAATAAAAAACCTAGCTGTGCGCAATGATAAATTTAATAAATGTATTGTATTTACAATTGGCGCTTGTTAACTGTTGTGTCATATTTT